ATTACATAAGAATGGTCTATAATATCTTATTATCATAACATTTGAAAGTCTTTGTACCAATTTGATCTTTTACTATATTCATAGTAATATGCCCTCAAAACCTCTATTCTGTACGGTATATAGTCTTATTGCATAGAGTACTTAGAAGAAAACCCTATTGGACTTTGTACTTTGCCACAAGCTCAAGCTCAAATATTCCAGGAGATTAAGAAAAAATAGAAAAAGATTGTTGAGGGAATGGATAGAGATATCGATGGAGTGGGAAATACTGGAGTAAGTACTATTAAACACAAGGTTAGGTTGAGTTTGGTAAATAGGTTGATTTTTCGTGAGGTAACGAATGGTCAGCTTTAGTCGCCTTGTTTGTTGTGATGTACGGAAACCCCCTAGATATAAATCAAAAACAGACCGTCACATATCAACAAAACGCCTACAGCCAGCCACAAAGTATGGCATCCGATATGCGTAATGTTGAAACGAAAGCTGAAGAGTGGAGGAGAAAATGTTTAGATGTTTCCACCTTATCTTCCTCCTTACAGTTTTGACAAGTTAAGTCCTCCAAAATCTTTAGCCTCACCGCAATTCAATGGACTTTTTCTGTTTCACTGTGCGACAGAAGGCATTCGCAACCCCGCCAGTGCTGGTTGCTGACTAACGCTTGCTGAGCTCACGTCAGGACCATAAATCGAATGCGACGACACAATAGACCATAAAGCGCGGTGCATACCTCAATCATTATCTATCTAATGCCCAAGTGCACAAAGGCGAACACCTGCTCGTTTCCATTCTGATGGGATTTGGGTAGCGTGCCTTTTCTTGCAAGCTCGTCGGCTTTACAGTTTCCGACAATTCCGCTGCGTCCAGGCACCCAGACAAATTTGATATGGAGGTAGCTTGATGCTACCGCTATTGAGGCCACACACTCACTGACTAACTTTGAGCCCACTGTTAGCGATCTCTAGGCCTATATTCCAAAAAGAAGCCGCCCTTTGGAGAAGTACAATTGCTACCTTAATGGCGGACTGGCAGTAAGAAACAAGAGTTGATTGTGAGCTCCCGGTAGAAGACTCCCCCTCCAATCATCCGCTTTTTAAAACCGACAGAATGATGATGAAATTCTAAATATGAAACTTAAGAAATTAGTGATTCTCAGATAAACTCCATAAAATTTAATGAAGTCAGCTTTTTAGTTTCGCACGACCTGTTTACACACTTCTCTCTTTGCTTATGTTCATTTTTAGATGTCTAACAAAAGCAACTCAAAACATAACATGTGATAGTTTTTGATTTCACTTTTATTATTTTTGTTTTCCTAGATTTTTTTAATCCACCGTCCAATGCACGCATCAAAGCTAAACGAGTACAAAGAGTTTGTGCTGAACGAACACGCAAATCTCTTGTGACAACATAAATAACAAACACATGATTTAATAGTGGTGTGCACAGGATCAGCGCAGGATCACTAGGAAATTTACAACCGGGATTACAAGCAAAGCCGAGCGCTGTCGGAATAGTTGTGATTAAGGAGTATGCGCGTTTTCATACCTACATACATATATATTATAAGTAAAAACTGTGGTATGGCAGCACAAAGTGACAAAAGGAGTATATAAAAATTGAAAAAAAAAATGTAATAATAATAATGGCACCCCGATGATGTGGCACTCGAATAAAGTGATGATACACATGCAACAACACACATACATACACATTCAAAAGGCGAATATTCCATAAAGCCGTGGAGGGGTGCATACGGCAGAAAGGCAGCGGCTCGTGTGATTAGCCCGACACGCTTGCGCTCGCCGCTCTTTTAGGCCGGAAATGGGCTGAGCCGTGTTATAGTTTTCGGAGCCTTCCACTTTTTTATGTTTTATAGAATTGTATGTGTGTATACAGGTTTTATGTGCGCATGATTTCGTTATAGTTTTTTTTCACAATTTCACTTTTTCCTAGATATCCGTTGCGCGGATTTGGCACATTTCGATGCGCAATAAATTCAGTTTCCTTTTTTTCCGATAATTATTTTTTCAATTTATGTTTTTTCTTGTTGATATCCAGCTGTTTTTTAATTAAGCATGTTGCGCAGGGTTGATTTGGAGGGGTGGCCTGCTGGTGAACAATGCCGTGTAAGCAAATTACGTCGGATAACATGACCGAGTTGTGTCACTTGCGGACAGCAGGGGAACCAATTTCGAGAAGGTGGGTTATAATGAGGGCTGTAGGGTAGAATAGGGAGCATGTTTTAGCGTGGTGATGATGGCATATTAGCTGCGACGTAAAAGCAATAGGGGTATTTTTATGAGGAGAACATAAATGTTGTAGAAATTATATTTATAAAGAAAAAAATTGTTTTAGTGGCAAACTTGATTGTTCCACAGCATTTACAGTTATTCTTGAACTAACAGATACGTGCATTAAGGAAAAATCGAAGCTGAAGCTCTCTAAAAAGGCTGCTTGAATGCTGCGTATCTTGAAATCATTTGCAACAAATCGAAGAATATATATCTAGCTCTGCTGGGAACATCCTCAACTCCTTGCACCATTTCGAAACAACAGCAACTAACGAGCAAGCAAGCATCTAGGTATAAATGTATAAAATATTGATATTAAGAAATGTTTAAATGACCTGGCACACTCAAGTGAGTTCATGAGAATATTAATCGAAAGATTTAAAGAAGTGGAACAACGTCTCCGTTTTAATTTCTACTTTAAAAATCCTCACAATTTTTTCGGATTGGGATTATAGGTTTGGGAATTCCTGGATCACTACTTGCCTCTCTGTCATAATTCCGCTATAGTTCTCCCTTCTTTGTTCCTCATCGCAGTTCCAATAGCCATTATGAATTATGCTAGTAAAAAGCGTAAATTTTCAATGAGGTCCGAAATCAACTAGATGATTTGAGAGGGAACAGTTTCATGTATCTAATCTGTGAACTCTAACAACTAGTCTATATTATTCCACAATTCATCATCACTTTTTATGAACCTTCTGAATATCCGAACGCTCAACTCTCTTGCCACACGCTCCTCAATGATTGATGAAGTACAAAGTCGCACTAAACCCACCTAAGCGTAAAATACAAAACGCAAATAGTGCTGTTGCGTAAGAGTACAGCCACTAACGGAGGTGGCGAACATGCCACAACAGTGAGATGACCATTAAGAAGTGATAGTACTTGCATGCCACATACACCAAGAACAGCAGCTTAAGCGGCATGCAATCTATAACAGATTAACCAGTGCATCATGCCAACAATAACAACTAAACCAAACAAGCCCATAAGTCTGCAATTTGGCCTAAGAAATTTGAGATACGTAAGCCTTAACTTGCAACAAAACATGGCGGAGGCAGTTTGGCAAGGCGAAATTATCCTGCACGCTAGTGGAGCAGCAAGTAGGCATTTAACGCGTCTTGTAAGTGCCGTTTCACACAGGGACGCAAAAGAGTCTCAAACCAGTTTATTGTGGGCGAGGGGACGACGAGGAAAGACGAAGGGACCGTGCCACTCGTGTTCGGGTGGCACGCTTTGTGTTCTTGTTCGTAACAGCTCGCTGCTACCCTTTTCAGCATTCCTTTTCACTTTCAAATCCTTTGAATGGTTGCAAGAGCGCTCGGTTTCAAATGAATTCGATCGCAAATTTGAGTTCTGTTATCTATTTTTGTATGTAATATCCAAATATGTATGCATAGAATAATAGAAATATTATGACAAATTGTAAATAAGGAGAAAATTAAGATATAGATTATGGAGTAAAGAAATTATGAATTTTTAATACGCAGTAAAGAAATTATGAGTTTTTAATACTTAAAGATTAGGAAATTGCTATTATAAATTTGGCCTTGAAAATGTTAGTTGCGGATATTCAATACATTCTTGTGGATTAGGGAATTCCCGTCTTTAGTATTTTTTTTGAAACTATTTAGCGGGTAGGTACTTGTATTATGCATATTGTTCTACCATATTCATGGTAATTCATTGCAAGCAAAATGTGTGACCATCATCTCAACATACAAATGAAATACGCAGCATGCAGTGTTGCGCGGTGTTGCGCAGTCGAACCGCACAAATATTTACGAACATTTTGTGAAAAGGAATGCAGAAAAACTAGACTCGAGTTGCTGGACTCTTTTTGGCCGTGTGAATGCCCAGAGCGACACCAAAAGAAAATTTGAAAAAAATGCGACTCTTTTGAGTCCCTGTCTGAAACGGCACTAAGCAGTTATATAAGTGTGCCAGCTATTTATGTCATAACATACGTACATGTATGTATGTATGCGCTTGTTTCGCATTCATTGCAACACTCACGATTATCCTACTATAAATTTCGGTTTTGTGCAGCTTGTCACTGCCTTATGTCAATGTTGCACATACTCGTTCATACTCGTATATTATCTAATGCCGTTGTTGCTGCACTTATACATACATACATACATTTTTAGACATGTATGAACTCATTACATCGATCTACTTATACAGCCTTAATGTCGGCTAGTATTCTGTGGCATGTTGCATATTAATGCTTGTGTCATTAGCTGGTCACTACTACCACTACATACTTGTATTACTATAAGTAAGTGTTGCATGCTGGCAATGACATTTATCTACTCGCCGACATAGTTGTTTCCCATGAGATCGGCCTTCGCCTTCAACTGCTTGTCCTGTCTATTGCTTTGCCTTTCTGCTTGTTTTTGGGATTTTGTTTCTGATCTTAATGACCATTAAGTAAAATGTGTGACAATATTGATGTATATCGTGTAGCACTTAAGCTGGGTGAGAATTCTGCTCGAGGTTCAATATTATTGATTAAGACTGGTTTGGCAAGCTATTATACACACACACACACTCACAAAAATACATATATACAAATAAATATATTATATGTAAATTATGAAGTTGCTTTGCAATTAAGTGCTAATATTATAGTTAATTAATTTTATAGTTGAATATATATGCTGAAGTAATCGAGTTTCAATTCTTTTTTTTTTAATTCTCTTGCAGTTGTTGTGCTTTTGAAAGACTTATATTTGACACTAAGGTAAGTCGTTGACGTTTTAATATGTAAACACTATTGAACTTATTACATTCCTGACACTGAAAAGGAAACGGGTTTCAAAACAAAACTAGAAAAACGTTCCTTCGGTCGCACCGAAGCTATAAGACTCTTCACAGGTGCATTTCTGGTGGTATAAAAGTTTATAAAAAGATCTTTAACTTGATTTTGATCGGTCAGTTTGTATGGCAGCTATATGGTATAGTGTTCCGATTCAAACAATATAATTGGAGATTGAAACGTTGCCTTGAATAATAATTTATGTCAAATTTTGGAAGATATCTCGTCAAATAAACAAGATTTCCATACAACAACTGGATTCTGATCGGTCAGTTTGCATGCCAGCTATACTCTTTAGTAGTCTGATATCGGCCGTTCGGACAAGTGAGCAGGTTCTTGGTGAGAAAAGGCTTAAAGGCCCAGCTTAACACGCTGATCGTTTATACTATACATATATACTCGTTCTTTATTGGGTCTCCGATGTTTCCTTCAGGGTGTAATAAACTTCGTGGCAAGCTTAATATATCCTGTTTAGTGTGTAAAATACAACAATCAACCTTGTTATGTCTCAGGTGGTTATCTAATCACTATAATCTTTAGCTTGATTCAAGCCTTTTTACCAACTCTCCATGAATCAATACTCTTTTTAGTCTAAATTAAGCACAGTCACTATGCTTATTTCTGCACTTATCATATTATATTATTATATTTTTTTTGATTTAGCTCAATTCCAGCCATTATTTTATTCACTGAGTTTCCAATATATCGTGGTCGATTCCAATTGTATTATTATTGTTAAGCATTTTACATGACATTAAAAAGCATTATAACTGATATCACTAGAATCTTTAATCGTAATTTCGAAAAACTAGAGTTTGTCCAAGGAAAATTTTGGGCCGACAGATAAAGTTGCCTTGTTTCCTCACTTTCTATAAATTCTTCCATTAAGGGACCACACCCTGTATTTTTCTACATTTTTCTTCCGAAATTTTTGAGACAGTTTTGTCACCAGTTTCAAAGTTAGGCTCAAAATTAGTCCTTGTAGACATAGATTTGTCACCATATACAGGGTTCCTCTACTCCCTTCATAGGTCTTCTCACATGAGCCTACCCAGGGGTGTTTAGACTATATCCGAATTTTTTTTTCGAATTAATGAAATCCTATATCTTCAGTTTTTTTACTTTTAATATCAATTACGTTCCAAAATTAAATAAGAGAATCCCGACACAATATTTTGAAGAGTTTTTCGAAATTACGTAAGCTACAGATAAAGGACGTCCAACGCGTTGCGATATGAAGAACACAATTTTACGTTTTCGCTATTAATATGTATATGATTAGATCGATAGTGTATATGTTTAACTGTATCAGTTTCGGAATTTTTCGAATATCCGAGGAATACGACCATAAAAGCTTCGGAGTTGTAATGTGATAATCTCGATTATTATTTGAGATTTGCTCTAAATTTTATAAAAATTTTAAGTTCTGACAATATTTATGAGAAAAATATTTGTTCAACAAGGTTAAGCAGTTAACTCAATACCATTTAATTTAAAAAATAACAGTAACACTGCTGATTTTAGAGTCATAAATAAGGTTTTCTGATCATTGATCATTATAAAATCATAATTTTTCACTACTTCTTCAGTTGAACTTTTAAAAATTACCCGAATACTTGTATTTTCAACAACACCGCACTTGAGAAATAACTCGACTTACGCTCTTCTACTTTGAGACGCTCTCCTAAAAAGTGATTGCCAGTAAGTAATTTGACAGCAAATCGTGCCTATTTTCTCACGCATTTTCTTCACACTTTCCTCAAACATGCACAAATATTATTACAGAAGATAAGTGAATTTTGTTGTAAATCTTCTAAATATATGACAAACAAATATCATTAATTTGATACAGAAGGCGCAATGTCGCAACATAAATCGAAAGTGTGCTCAATAACAGGCGAATCAGCAAGCAAACACCAGAGTAAAGGACACTTGAGAATATGAAAAATCGACACACATTAAGCTTGCATTATCGGCAGCAGCATAATATGTGCACAAAGTAGAGCGAAAGGATAAAAAGGACATTTCATTTCTTTAGAAGCACACACACATAAACAAAATTTATGTCAAGGATGGTGGCTATTATTTTCTCAATCGAAAATTTTATTAATGTGAAGCTGTTATTCTTGAGCAACATGACATTGTTGAGGATGTATAGCCTGGCGGTTTCGTATCAATATCCTTAAATATTATTTCGACTGTTTTTAATCGCTTGTCAAGCGCAGCCGCATTTGGAAGTCACACACTCTTCAAATTCGTCACAGCTAATTTGCAGTGACAATAAAAAATACAACAAATAATGACACAATAGCGCATGCATGCTACTTGCAACATACCGACTTTATGCTAATAAACAATAGTGTTGTTTGTTGTTTTTCCAGCAGCAAAAGGTGCGCAACCCAGCGAGACCTTTAAAAAACTCGAGACCGAATTTTTTATATTATCTAACGCAGTTCGGTACTGTTAATCCGCTTGCCAGTTGTTGTCGAAAAAATTGATAGTTTCTACAAGCTGCTGAGGGCAAAAAGGGGAAATTTTGCTTTGTGTGTGTGCGCTTTTCACGCGCTCAAATACAATCGACACTGTGTTGCTAATTAAAATAAATGATCGATCGTTTGCATTTGTCCAAATAATCAGAGTATACATAACATCGAGCGGCAGGGCAGCAACAACACCACCAAACAATCCCTTAATCCAGCGCGGCATGTCCTTTAGCCGCTGTTGTGTACCTCAAGCTCACAATCAGCTAGTTGGCTTACTTTGCCTTTGCGACATTATTGCTTGCATTCATACTCTCTTATATGTGTATGTGTGTGTGTGTGTGTATGGCAGTTATACTTATCGCTTGCAGCATCTCACAAAACGCATCGAATTTCATGCACACGCCATGCCAGGATTTACTATGCTAATGTCCTTCAGTCAACGTTCGAATTGTGTCGCCTGTATACGCTTCGTAAATCACACAACAACATACGCGCATTGTAGTTGTTTTTGTGCAAATATGCATTGCGCAAATACGCTGGAGTCAGTCATTCGTGGCTGTCGCTCGCTGCCGTTTTCGCTTCGTGTGCGTGTGTCAGTCGCATAATCTTACATTGCAATTTCAAGGATTAGTGGCTTAACTCTATGACCGGATTACTTGTGTTGCTCAAACAAGTCCTCAGTCTCTGGCTTACAGTCGCTTGTTTGCAGTTTTCTTTTTCTCCCTTCCTCTACTCATAGTTTCTTCGCTTTCCTTGTGCGAATATTTTCAATTTTCCAGTTTCGCTTTAATGCGCATAAATGCTTGCAAATAACTCGCAACGGGCGGGTCTCTGAGGTCAATGGGAATCGATTGATAAATATGCTCTAAGTATGTACGTTCAATTGTATGTACCGTTGTTCGATTTGATTTGCCACTCTAGCAATTTTAAGGCGTACTTTTTCACACGGTACGCGGATCTGTAGTGCCAGCCCAAATAAGAGTGACTACATTTGGATGTGTGTGTTCTTTTTGACGATACTAATGCGAGCTCTACTAGTCCTCAGTTTCCTGACGCTGTAACCAGCTGAATGATATTTCAGAGATAGGTAATTTGTTTTGTTCTTAACGACTGTATCCGATCTTGTAGCTAATGAGGTCATGCTATAAGGATCTTTCATGTTGCCATACTATAACAAAACCCAAAATAATAATTTCTCTTTTTCTGTTTGCATATTTTGATACTTTTTCTAAAAATATGTCGAGTTCATAATGCTTTTGTTCCAAAACTTTGCTACAAGCGGAACCTAAGTTTTTCTTCATTTGAACTTTCTAATAATGTTTAAGCATTTTTCTTGATCTGCTAGCAGCGGCCTCAATACCTTAAAACTTGTTCGCAAAACTAGAGACTCAGCTTCCAGCTTCCTATCTTAAGAAACTTTCACTCGAGTAATTTTTTATCGTGGGTTGACATTGTCCACTATTCTTCATTATATATACTCTATATGAACATCATTTAGTCCAAGGTAAATTTTGCTGGAAGTAGTTGCCGCTAATATTTATTAGTAACTTGAAATCCGTTCTCGGATTGCCTATCAAATAGCGAAGCCGCCTGATGTGATTCTACACAAAAACGCCTTGCATTCATATATGCTAAGAACCGTTTTTTCGAATCCAACTAATGTCGGAGCTTAGCGCTAGGATTATCCATCATAAATATTTATTAAACTTTAAGGGTATTACGTTGAATCTTACTCAAATTCAGAAAATATTTAAAATAGATTTACTTACAAGGGAGGTCTTAGATTTTCACATTCTTGTTTCGAAATAGGATCTTTGCACTGTCAAAATGTATGTAAACATTGAACTCCATACGAAATTACATGCTTACGATTCTCTGTTTCTTGTTCCAAGACATTTTTGCCATTCCTATCGAAGTCAACATCGTTTGATCTTCGCAGCAAACCAAAAAATAAAAAGTGTAATCAATTGACCTTCGATAAGCTGTGGAAGGCGTCATTAGCATGATCGTAGCTACTGATGTGTATCCATATTTTTACTTGCTGGAGAAAGGAAATAATTCTGCATAGCTCCATTTGTAATATCTCTCTTACTTAGTTCTATTTATTTGAAATCAATCTGGTTTCTCGGAGGCAAAGAAATATGAAAACCTGAAAAATAATTATTTTCAATATCATTCTAACGTCAAATAGTTCAGAAATTGTCTTTGATTTACTGCCTGATTCAGGCAACTGATCAAACCTTTTCATCTGAGATCTCAAAATCCCATCAACCTCGGAATAGCAGGTTAGGATGAAGATGTAATCTCAACAGTTCATTATGGTGGTGTCTGGATGTATACCCAGCTATCTGATTGTTTTAGTGGACAGATTTTGATTCCAGGAAATAAAGCTTAGATTATGGTGGTGTCTGTGACTTCAAAAGTTCATAAATCTCCATGTTTTAGAAAATAGATTTTGAACTCTGGACGTAAAGTCCAGATAAGAGTGGTTCTTTTTATTACAGCCTGTTTTGACCCTGTCTGCTTTATAACACACACATTGTTGACATTATGAGAAACCTACACTAAAAAGAGAATTATTTTACAATAAAGCGTAACATCTAGAGTCTTTTTCGAGGATCTACAAATTTATCCATTTAAATAAAAGAATCTCGTTTAAGGTACCACTGTTGCTAGACATGCTATGAAAATTCAAATATGTATATGATTACTCTAATCTTATGAAATCCTATTTCGAATAATGAATAATTTTAAAATAAAAACTTAAATTAATTTTTGAAACTAAAAATCATTAAAAATGCATTAACAACTCCAAAAAATACTACAACGCGCTAAAATAAGAAATTCTTCAAAAAGGTAAACAAACGTAAAGACCAAAGCTATTAAGGACAGCATTTACCCAAACCAAAAACATTTCAAAAAGTAAAGTACATAACATCGAACGCTTCAGCGCTTCTCCAAAGTTTTGTTGAAAAATGTTACATTAAAATAAATGAAAAATGCGCTTACATGAAAACATTTCAGCATTTCGGTAATGTTCGATTTTTTTCCACACTACGCCACATGCCTTGTCGGCGCTCCTGCGCATTTCTTGTTAGCTGCCAAAATAAATAAAAAATTTAAAAAAAAATGTACACAACTGTTTGAAATATCCACTCGTTAATGTTGTTATTGTTTTAGTTTTTCAAAATCTCCGGCATTCATTAATCAAAGTGACGTATTTTAAAAAACGCACAGCTCAAGTATCTTCGTGTTTGCGGCTCGCATCATCAGCGTCAATTGTGTCTATTGAAAAAGTGCCGCTTGTTCTAATGTTTGAAATTCTTTCCATTTCCTTTCGATTGCTTTTTGTTGCAATTTGATGAAGTGCCCGGTTCTCAACACTCTGTTGGGTGTCCAATATTCACCAGTGTGAGGCATAATCCCTTAAGCGCATTGCGGGCTTGTTAAGTGTCGACATAACGGGGTGTCTTCCATGTTCTTACATACATAGTTTGCTGGAGAGAAAAATTAGTGGGGAATGGCGCGCTCTTTGATAATATAAAAATGGTAAGCAAAATTGATAAGTGGCATATTAATAATAAATATTATGCAAGAGGTTATAAATGTCTATAAGTGTGCGTAGAGTTTGGAATTTATCGGAGAGTTGACCGACGTAACCAAGCTATGTTTTTCAACGTGTAACCTTTGTACACTTCAGAAGATTTGAATATATAATTTTTTTAATTAGCTAGGAGGAGGCTACTGGCAGTTTATGGACCTTCCACTGGACTGATTGGGGTTTCACCTTCTAAAGTACTCTAAAAAAGTTTCAGAGATGTTTCGGAAACGTTCAGCGTCACTTAAGACTTAGTACGAAAAAAAATGGATATGTATTAAGAATGAGAAACTAAGCAAATGAAGTATTTTTAGGTTAGAACATGGTAGTCCTTGTGAGTTACGAAATCCGAAATTAAATTAAAGTAATAGATAAGTTATGGAACAAACTCCCGTTGAGATAAAGATAAGCATGAGGATAAGGTTAAAGATAAGGCTTAGGAAAACGATAAGGTTATGGAAATGGATATGGATGACGATGAGGATGAGGATGAGGATGAGGATGAGGATGAGGATGAGGATGAGGATGAGGATGAGGGTGAGGATGAGGATGAGGATGAGGAGGCCCTCTTTATAAATATTTTCAATTTTAAAACCAAAATATACAAACAAAAAAATTTTTTTTTCAAGTATTTCTTCAAAAATAAAGAGCACGTTGTCGTCTCCAACAACTTTTTATTTCAATTTTCAGCTAACACATTATCTTCGTATTGCATAAATCTCACAAACTGAAAATTTAAAACGACCTACGCCACTTATAGATGCAACTACAACAACAATTCACAAGATAAATACAACTTTAAGAGCCACAGACATGCAGCTAATAAATATAGCGGTTGTTGTTTTAAAACAAATTTATAATTTCAGCAGTGAAAACATTCATCCGACGCAAATTAACACACAATTTTCCATTTCCATTTTAATAAGCAAAACAAAGAAACGAAATAGAAGATGATGAAAAAAAACAATAACAAGAATTGTGCACTTAAGTTGAGAGCGCAAGGGCGTCCAAGCGGTTGCGTCAATTTCCAAAGTAGTCATTAAGTTCTCTCCGTCTGGCAATGTGAATTCACATATGTTTGCCAGTAAGCATGTATGTATGTTGTTGTTGTAGTCTGGCCAACTGACTGTCTGTCTGCCAATTTATGTACATATCTATGCATATTTGTAGCGCTGAATATGACACAAAAATAAATTCTCGCCAAAAGAATGTTTCAAGTTGCAGGCGTGAAGTGTTGGCATGAGCAATTGGAAAGTTTCCCGTGCAACGTTGGGCGGGCAGGCGATATGCAACATTCCGCAATTGGAGTTTGAAGTGTTTATTGGGTGTTTTGGTAGGGCATGCACTCACTATAGGCTAGGAGTGTGTTGAAAAAGTGCTAGGATTCAATGAGTTCAGTGATGGAGAAGTCTTATCTTAGTCTCAGATTTATGACCAAATAATATCGTGGAGCATTTCAACGCAACAATTTTAGCTGATCCCTGGTTTCCCGTCGAACAAATAACCGAAGTATGATTCTTTAATAATTCAGTTTTAGAAATTCGTTCGACAAACAAAACCGGCAAAAACTTTTAAACCCTTCGAAACTCCTTAAATAAAATCTTTCTGGATTATTAATCATTTCAGGTTTGTCAATTTTTTTCTAGCCATCTCTTTTATGCGAGTTTGTTTCTTACTTCTAAAAAAAAGTGAGTGTAAAAACGAAGTGATTACAAATATTATATTATACAAAGGTGAGTTCCTTATTCTTAAAAACTTAAAATCTTAATGACACGACCGGATTTTTGCAACGGAAATATAATAGAGAAAAGAGGAAGAGTTAAATTTGTTACTTCAGACGAGTTCTCGAATTTCGCTGCGCTGCTCTGCGCTGGCTCACATCAATTCCAAAACTTTAGTTCGGCTCCTCTTGAATTTTCCAAAGCAAAGAGCTCCAATTTCAACTGTTATTAGTCGTATTGAATATTTTCGGAGCTGGGGACTTCCTTCCTTTCTTTGTATATATTTATAGCGAGTATGTATTGACTCAACTTCGCTATTTGAAGAAACTTACACCTATAATCAGTGACGGAGAGCAGGGAAGAGAGCGGCAACAATTTCTTCCGAACCCGGAGTTCTCAAGGCGTTCCGGTGCTCTGCAAGAATTTCTTACACATTGTTTTTCCAACAATTGATGAATCTAGGAGACCGCATTCTATATCCGCTCGGACACCGTTTTTCTCTCTATGCGCCTGTATATTGTTTAGAGCTAATTCCTCCACAGCGCCATCTATCGAATTTTATAATTTGAAATGCTTTAATAATCAAAAAAATAATACTTTTTCATCACACAATTTTCCATTAATCAACCTAAAATTTTCAATTTCGTAACAATAAAGTGAGTTGCTGTGGCATTAAAAGTAATTCTGGTACTTATTTGACAGAGTGTAACAACTCATTATGACATGTACAGCTGTGTGTATGCAATTAAATGAATGTAGTGAAAATAAAGTATGCAATATTTGAATGAAAATAGAGAATAACTGCAAAGTGCTAATTGAAAAAATAAATAAACAGAAACTTTTGAGTATATGAATGAGTACGTTAAGGCGAGCATGTGTGTGTGGCAGCTGCAGACAGCGTAAAATGCGTGCACACAGTGCTTGCAACATTTTTCGAATTGTGTAATATTTAATTGCGCATAGACATACTTATGTACAACAGAGTGGGGTTAAATATTTAGAGAGCAATGCAAGAGGGGTGACAATTGGCGGATGTGTGGAAAATTAAGTATTTAGTAGCAGGATCAGTAACAAAATTAGTTTGGCTTTGTGTGGTGGCAGGATTTAATGGAGTCATGTGCAACAATATACATTTTTATACATCAACAACTAGTCTGTCATGCTTTTGAGACCCCCTTTGATGTTATTTATATACTTGTACATATTTTGTACATCTTCATATGTGAAGCCATAAAAATTTCCGAAAAACTCATAAAATTTACAAACAAGAAAAATAAATTTAATTTTATATTTAGTTCAAGTGCAGAAGCCAAAAGGTAATCACAGCATCACGGCAAACCCCTAATGGGATTAGGGTTAATGCCAATGCACCACCACACATGCACTCTCTTATATATTTTATTTTGAGTGCAGTTGTTGCACAAATGTCAAATGCGACAACAAAAGTCACATACAACTCTTCAGTAATAGAGTTATTTTCTAGTACAATACATTGTTGCTTTTATTGTTGTGTATTCTGTGAGTGTATTCGTCTCCTTGTGATTGAGGGAGTAGGTTAATTGCTGGCCACAATAGTTTTTCGTCGTGAAAATCACACGTAACACAGTCGTCACCGCTCATTAATTAACCCCTTAAGTGCTTAAGTGGACTTATAAGTAATGACGAAGTGACTTAAGAACACAAATAAATGTGCAGACAAACATATACTTATATGAGTAGATAAACCTGTACAACACATTGTTCTGTAAATAGCCGAGACGTGTTGTAGGAAACCACATACTTAACCTAATATATCGGCGTTATTACGAAGAGTCCAAATAAATTGAATTTTACAGTTCTGCTAGTTGATGTATAGTTACTTTCTGTAAGCGCTAATGATATAGTACACACTTTTTTGCCCAGAAGTTGAACACCTAAACAATTTGAGCGAATAATTTATACAAAAATACTACTACGAATTAAGATTTTTTGTAAACAAGTTATAAATATTAGAAATTACTAATTTCGAAAATTTAATTAATCCTTATAATAGATCTTTACTATAATTTCTCATATCAATATCTCTTGTTTATTATCTCTTCTGATCTGTGACTTAGCTTAAAGTAGTGCGCTTTTTTAATATTGATACACTTGAGAAAAATACTTTATTATTCATTTAAATATTGAAATCCTTCTCAACTCGAAACATCAAAAATTATTTTAAATAAATAACTATTCGTTAAAACTAAATTCTGCATCTTCCACTGAATAGTTCTTGACTTAGATAAAATATTCGCCAAAATGTAGGCAACGTTTATTCTCTTAGTTTTATATTTTTCAACAAAAAGTTGTTTTTAGACATATTTTTGTTACTGACTATAGCGTGAATAGCTTGTTATTAGGAAACATAAAAGATGAAGAGAAAAAGATTAAAAATTATTTAGTTTTTTTTTTTAAATAGCGAAAACCATATATTAAAGCTTTCTAAAACTGTTTTTATGCGTCGAATTAAATTAATTTAATAGTATTAAGGCCTTATAAAAGGCTACGTGTATTTACTCGAGCAAAAAACAGACCATTTTCCAACTTTTTTTTTTTCATAAAAAAATCTAATTTTCATTATTTTTTTTTTATATAAAATATTACATATTTTATACAAACTTTTTATTATTTCAAGGATACGTATTTTTGTGATATTTTGAAAAGAATATATTCAAAACTCGGCCTTTAAGACATCATTTCCGGCAGTCCCTCGGTGAAATGGTGGCTCTGCATTGACAAGAGAACTTCTTACAGGATTATCTGAAGTAAAAAGAAAAAAATACGTGTGTTAATTAAGACTATAAACTAGGAATTGGAGAAAGGAAAAAAGTGAAAAGTGTATTTCTGATTGAAGTTTTCAAAAAAAAAAAAAAAATGCAAATTTCGGTGAAAATTTTTCGAGTTTTTTTTTTTTATTTAAAAGTTATAATAAAAAAAAGCCTTCGTTCAAA